CCTATGAGTATACGCTTGAATTATCTAATTGAATTATTAATGGTTCGGTTTGCTTAATGAATAAAGTGTACTTTCATCATAAAAGGTTGGGGATTAACTTTGATGAATTTTTATGGTGATGGGAATGCGTTTCAATCATGAAATAAATAGGACAAATCGAACTCCGATGTATGTCTATTTTGTACCTAGGTATTTTGGGGGCTTATGTGTGAATCGTTTAATGAAAGGACACTTTGTAAAAATCCAGGCACGTCTTGAATACAATAGTATAGAACCCTTCTATCTGTTCATGTAAGCTGGAATATCATTGGAGCCACTGATTTTAATAAAAACACTTCACGGTCGTGCTTACATTTCATTAATCAAATCTTGCGCTCCATTGCTGGTGAATTCATATTCTACAAGTCTCACAACCCGCCCCCGGGTTTTCCCATCATTGGTCCCATAATGTATCCACGAATGACTGTCAAACTATTCATAACGGTCGATTTTACCCCCTGCTGAGTCCCCGTTAAAGGGAGTGGGTATTTTTGTCTCAGATTCTAAACAAAATCCTGGATTTAGCTCATTCTGCAATCATAATTATAATCATACAGGTCAGTCAGGAATCCCATGATGTTTACAAGCCGATCGCCCGTCTGATTATCAAGATATTTATGATTGGAGTTCGAAATTTCAAAAGCCTTTTTTCCCAAAGTTTTGTATAACACTACTAACAGTCTATTGGGAAAATGAGTATGGTAAAACCGGTCAGTCAAAGGTTGTTTACTTTTTTGATCATTTTGAAGCGCAATTTTTTCAGGGCTTCAATATTAAATACACCAAATCAAAGACGCTGATAACACGTAGGGCCATGCATCTCAGATTCGGCATTCATTTGTTAAACAATACCTTCAAAGACCCCCGATATAATATATCATCCCATAACCCATTGTTCAACGTTTGTTAGAGGTACAAAGGCTGTAAAATACACAGAGGTAACAATGCAACAAATACCCCCAACAAACGGTTAATGTTCTTATGACTTTTTCAAAACGTCCAACTGCTTTCAAACGTTTGTAGAACGCCTTTTTGCGTCCCAAGAACGTCTTTTGTTCAAAAGTTCTTCATATGGAAAATAATTTTCCTATCCCTCTCGATATTTTTTTCTGAAAATTGTAAGAGCAATTTGCATGTAGGCATTATTGCAATTTGAGGTATAGAAATATCTTATTATTATTATTATTTTTATTATTATTATTTTGTAATAATTAAGTTCATTTGAATCGAAGAAGAAACAAAATAGAAACAGAATGGCGCAATTTTTACACAAATCGGACAAATAATTAGAGAGTTATGAATGTTTAGATTATGAGATAACTAAATCTATGCGAATCTCAAATTAGCCATGGACAACTCTGACGGTTGTCGTGTTTAAATATATCATCATTTTCTGTGTTTCTCCTAATAAGTGCCCTCTACGTTGGAATACTGATAGCATATTATTATTATAGGTCCTATAAAATGCAAAGACTCTCGTGAGTCATACATTTTGAAATGTTGACTGTTATGTACTCTTAATTAAAAGGTACACAGATGAATACTCGAGACTGATAATTAGCACACATTGATACTCTTGGTATAAGATTCCAAATCAAGTTTATTTTGCATAGCGCATGCGCAGCTTTAATTCAATTGTGAATTTTTGTAAGACATCGTCAATATATAACATCTCTCTCGCTCTTAGTTTCCGACATAGTGATTGTATGAAAATATTTTATAATATGTTAGGTAATCCAAATTATGAGTAAAATTGAATACCAGCATTATATCCATATATCATAAACAGTTTCAAATCTACTTTTCAACAAATTTAGTGTATTTTATCTGTACATTAACTTTAGAAGAAATTACTTCCTTAGACTTTTTAGTAATAAAATGACTAACATGAATGTTAAATTAACACTAATGATATTCAGTGAGCCAGCGATTTCCTACATTGACTAGTACACATATTAAAAGAGTGAGATGTCGTTTAATTACCTCATATTAAATCAACAATTTGCTTTAGTCATTTTGTGTGTTGAACAAATGAGGAAATTGTGAGGCACCATAAACGTCACAGCACTGCTAAAGCCAGGGTAATTACGCTGCATTATTGTAGAGCGCTGAGAGACTTCTGATAAAGTAAGTGCTAGGCGCTATAATTATAAGCAAGGATAATTATTATTATCATTATTAAAAATGTCAAAGCGTAAAGTGATTACAACTTACAAAATTCATAATGTTCTTGTTATTTCGTCTGTTTGGAACCAAAGCGCATTAACTATGTGTAAAAGTATATAACTTAATGCCCTTCTGGCTCGAAACAGACAACATTCTGTCCTGATTTTATTTACATTTTTAAGAGTCTGGTTCTCAGATTGTTCTACTTTCCTTTTGATTGAAGTTGTATATTAGGGTTAGATCTTCCTCTATGTCTTAACTGAATTTTTTTTTCAACAATTACGTAAGAAGAAGACCATTGAATTGAACTCTGATAACGCATGATTGTCGGATTCTTTGCAGATCCTATTTACACAGTGTAACTCTGTTTTACTCTGATAATCAGAGTACTTAGTACCTGGTAATTAGACATTTCTCAATAAAATTACTCAGTGAAATTGTGATGGTTTGTTAAAAAAAGGGAGGCTAGATCCTTGTCTTCTCCCAAAGATTACCTGGATATTAAACCTGCATTAATTATGTGCTCATTTTAATCTTCATTTGTCAGTCCCACCGACGAGACCGACACAAGAGCGACTACAGACCGAACAAAAATTAAATTACACCGCATGGGCAAGAGAAGGTCGGTCTGTAGTCGATCTGGAGTCGGCCTGGAGTCGGTCGGGAGTCAGTATGGGGACGGTCCGGAGTCAGCCCGGATTCGGTCGGGAGTCAGTGTGGGGACGGTCCGGAGTCAGCCCGGATTCGGCCTGGAGTCGATCTGTAGTCGGTCTGGAGTAGGTCTGGAGTCGGTGAGGGTACGGTCTGGAGTCAGCCCGGAGTCGGTCTGGAGTCGGCCTGAAGTCGGCCTGGAGTCAGACTGGAGTCGGCCTGGAGTCGGCCCGGAGTCAGTCCGGAGTCTGTTTGGAGTCGGTTTGGAGTCGGTCTGAAGTCGGTTTGTAATCTGAAGTCGTAATATGAGCAGATCGGTACTTGTTATTCCATAGATAGTGAACTAAATTTACCCATTAAAGGTAAAGACCAGTTATGGTCATGCGATTGCATTGTGAAAGAAACGTTGTGGAATCAATCAGAAAAGGTTGATCATCTAGCATCTAGCATCTGCAAGGTTCTGGAATCATCAAAATGATAAGAAATTTGGCCCATTCTTCATAAAGTAACAAGCACTATACACAGAAAGATGTATATGGGACTACCCTATATCTCTCACAGTCCATGAGAGAAACAAATTTACCAAATATATGAATTAGTAGGCGGTTTCCCAGCAAATTTTGTTATCATCATGTATTAGTCAAAACATATTCTTTCACATGATTTGTAATGAGAGCTTCCATTTCATTTTTTGAAATTGGGGCGTTTCTAATACTGGTCTTTACCTTTAATGGGTCGGTGTATAAAACTCTACAAAACCACAAAGCATAGAGGATATCTAGGTTTCATCATTCGACTGACTGTAATAGTTTGATGTATTCATGCCAATCATTTAAATCATGGTATCCAAATTACTACACATATTTTAAAGTGTAAATTTACACACTTCGCATTAGAAGATCGGATCCTCAAAAGGCATTATATTTTGAAGATTTTGCATTTCAAGTTTAAAGACACGATTGGTGTTTTTTCAAAATAAACTTTTTTAGATTATATAAAAAAGGCATAACCATTTTTTTCCCTCTTCAAGCTGTTAGCTCTTTTGAACACCCACGCATTAGTTGTTAGAATAGTCTAGACCTAAAATTTACTTTAGGAGACGTAATACATATGCCAGAGATCTCGACTTTGATCCCCAATACACACCTCGGTGTACTAGACCATGCACGGAGTTTTGTCTAATAATTTATGGTACCAAGCTGGGACTGTACGAATCGTCATAATTCCATTCACTTCTATAAAGCTTTCGGTTCAGACTGTTTAAACAAAATGATCCAAACTGCGTGTACAGACAAATCTGTATCCTGAATAATCCAATAAACATGTAACATGTCAACTTGAACGTTAGTTATACTAACGTGGGACTATTTAGTGGATAATAGTCATGTGGATGACGATAATGATAACAGCAACATCAATAAAGAGAACGGCAACAACAGTATTGATGTTAATAACAATAAAGTTGACAATAATAATAATAATAATGATAATAATAAAAATAATGATACAAGAATAATATATCATAAATTGTAGTGATGATGATGATGATGATTCAATTTATATGAGTTTAAGAAGAAGGGGACAAACAAGAAGAACAAGCACAAAACGAGGAAATCTCATTCGAATTCGCATATTATTATTGATGGTGTACCTATGCCTTTATGCACAATGAAATGAACAGGTATAGATATAGTGTGTAATCATTAAAGAGAACAATAAACTTGTTGATTCATTTTTACACGAATTCTTCTTAAAACGACGCAATCTCAAAGATTTTCAAAAAAATCAACGTTATACGTCATTGTAATTTTTCCCATATTTGCAATGGCTGTTGAACAGAGCTATTAGAACTACCGTAGGTTGATTTATCGAAAGTCTTTGCGACAGTATTCAACTGACATTGTAAAATGGATGAAAGTTAAAACCAGGGATGAAACAAGGCAGCGAGTTTTCCTTGTTCTTAGACAATAACAATTTGATGATCTGTGCGATATTTTGGACCACCTTGTACATATGTATAGGGCAAACACAAGCTACGTCATTTATAGAGCAATAACAATAACATCGAAATATGAACGCTTTTTGGGGGATGCATGATTGCACTTGGCAAATAATACAAAGAGATGTGCAAATTCACCATCGTTCCTATTTCCATAACGCGGGCAGAATGGTGGACTATGTACGCAAAGGAACAAACATGGCGTTGGGATGTATAACAAGAACCTCATGGTTTCATCTGTTTTCCTGGGTTCTACTACTTAATATGATGGCAACAGGTATGTGTTAATAATGCTCCACATCATTTTGAAATGAAAAATACTTAAAGTTTGTGAATTGGCCGGCCAATATCACGTACCTATGAACAAATCGTGTATGAGGAAGTGTCAATTTTAAAACACATATTTAGCCATTAACAGCAACCCTCACGACGTGTTAGAAATACCTATCGTAACAGGATGAATTTACATTGATACCATGTAATTGTGTGATACGAATGTCGGTGTGAGAATTGATAATGCAAAATTAATATAATTGATAATTGATAGTAGTCATATACAGTAGATGTCCAATAGTACTGCATTGTAAATAATAATGACGGTGGTGGTGATGGTGTTGGTGGCGATGGTGGTGATGATGTTGATGATTGCAATGATGATGATGAGGATGATGTTGGTGGTGGTGATGATGACGGCGCTGATGACATGAAGGTAGTGACGGTGGTGATAAAAGATAATGATGATCATCTCGCTTATTATGATCACTACCATGTACCTAAATGTACTTGCGATTTGAATTCCCAGTATCAAATATTTTATTTATCGAAATGTGTATGTTTATGCATACTTAGAATATTGATTTGATTTGCATGGGTCTTAACTTTTAAATTTGTTCTATGTTTGATAAGTGTGTAGATAAGCTATGAAACAAAGGAGAATAGTTTTCAGAATGTAGAAACTCCATCGCTATACACCTATTATGACTTAACTTTTTAAAACTTAATGGGACATCGGCCCTAAAATTATGTCAAGAAATCGTTACAGGACCTAATGTCTAGAAAATACTTTAAAATGTAATCCCCCCTCCTCCTTTTATGGCCCATTAGAAATATCAAAACAAATTAAAGCAAGTAAAGAACGCGTAATTGCAGTAATGGTAGTAGAAAGTAGTAGTAGTAGTAGTAGTAGTAGTAGCAGCAGTCGCATTAGTATTATAGTAGTATGGTACTAGTACTTGTAGTAGTAGTAAATTATTATTATTATTATTAGTAGTAGTAGTAGTAGTAGTAGTAGTAGTAGTAGTAGTATTAGCAACATCAATAGTAGAAGCAGAATAAGGAGAACTAGTAGTACAAGTAGTGGTAGAATTAGTAGTGGTAGTAGTAGTAGTAGTAGTAGTAGTAGTAGTAGTAGTAGTAGTAGACGTAGTGGTAGTAGTAGAACTGGTATAGTTGCAGTATAGCTGTAGTGGTAGTAGTAGTAGTAGTAGTAGTAGTAGTAGTAGTAGTAGTAGTAGTAGTTGTAGTAGTAGTAGTAGTATAGTGGTAGTAGAAGCAGCGGCACCAGCACCAGAAGATAGTAGTAGTAGTAATAGTAGTAGTAGTAGTAGTAGTAGTAGTAGTAGTAGTAGTAGTTGTAGTAGTAGTAGTAGTATAGTGGTAGTAGAAGCAGCGGCACCAGCACCAGAAGATAGTAGTAGTAGTAATAGTAGTAGTAGTAGTAGTAGTAGTAGTAGTAGTAGTAGTAGTATAGTGGTAGTAGAAGCAGCAGCAGCACCAGAAGAAAGTAGTAGTAGTAGTAGTAGTAGTAGTAGTGGTAGTAGTATTAGTAGTAGTAGAAGTAGTAGTATAAATAGTAGTAGTAGTAGTAGGAGTAGTAGTAGTAGTAGTAGCAACATCAGTAGTAGAAGCAGAATAAGTAGTACTAGTAGTAGACGTAGTAGTAATAGAAGTAGTAATAGTATTAGTAGTAGCAGTAGTAGTAGTAGTAGTAGTAGTAGTAGTAGTAGTAGTAATAGTAGCAGTAGTAGTAGTAATAATATTAGTAGTAGTAGTAGTAGTAGTAGTTTTAGTAGTAGTCGTAGTAGTAGTAGAAATAGTGATAGTGATAGTGGTGGTGGTGCTGGTGGTGGTGATGGTAATAATAGATGTAATAAGCGTTGTGGTTATTGTAGTGATTAGAATAATATTAGAAAGACAATAATATGCTGCACTTTTAGAAAATAAACGAAATAACAAATAGATGAATTTGTATATATTTATGGTGGTAGGAATAGCGCCCAATTAATATGTTTTGAAACGACTTCCTCAAGTCAATTAGTAGAATATTTTAATCGATTAAAAAAAACATGACGTCCAAATTTACTTTTTTTTTTCTTCTTTGCTTTAATAGGCACGAAGGTAATTAAATACGCAAATATTTTTGTCATTGTTATTGCTGGCATTTGTTTTTGTTTATCTATTGTACATTTTGTTTGTTTTGTTTTCACTTAATCTTCTTTAACTGTGATAATCACAGATTTGTTCAGATTATCATTGTAAACAGCAACAACAGAATGTTCATACTTGAATTATGTCACTGTCTCAATGATTAGGTTCGGGTGTATCAAATTGGAAAATTCGACTGGCAGGCTCACTGCTATCCACTGAGGGGCGAGTAGAGGTGTTAATAGATGGACGATTTGGTACCATCACGGATTTTGACACGTGGGGCCACAATGAAGCTCGAGCAGTCTGCAATCAGCTTGGTTTCCCTGATGATAATGTCGCATCTCTAGGAGGAGGTTACTACGGTCAGGGGAGCGGGCCGGTCTACTTTTTAAGTGTGAAATGCCCTGAAGGAGCCAGCGTCTTGGACAATTGTACTTATGTCCGAGAGAACACGGAAAACAATCATGGGTTCGACGCAGCGGTTACATGCAGTGAGTATACAGACCTGGGGGTGTTTCACAAAGATCCTAAGTTGAACTTATCTCTAAGTTGGACTTAACAAGTATAGAAAGCCGTTAGCATCTAAAAAGATATTTTGTAAAAGTTATTTTAAAAGGCATAAGATGTTGATCCAAATCATTCATATTTTCTATTATCAAGGAGATTTCATGTTCTTGATGTGGAATTTATAAAAAGTCTAAAATACTTGTTTTTTCGTATTTGAATATATTTATTTTAAGGCTTCATATGGCTCTCCTTAGTTTTAAAGTCCAACTTAGAGTTAAACTCGACTTAGGATGTTTGTGAAACACCCCCCCCCCCCCAGATTGATCGCTGCAAGCCTTTACCGTTTACATTAAAAATGAATTAAATAATGGTTTCATAATCGAAGATTTCAATTCCTTCCTTTCTCGTGGGTATACGAAAAAAACCCAACATCACATCACAATAATATCATCTCATGATCATAAAATAATTGAAATCCATGTCGCCTAACACATACACAGTAGAGCATTTTAATATGAATCCAAATTCTGATCTCCAGTGGTTTCAACTTGCTGAACAACGTATCCCCCCCCCCCCCAGAGAATAGAGATTTTAGAATGAGAAAATTAAAGGATTTATAATAGTGGAACTATCGTTTTTCCCTTGATTCTATTTAGTACGTGCTTTTATAATATGTCATTAATTTTCAAAAGAAAAGGTTAATTCATGGTTATTTAAAAGTTCATGCAAGGATATCAGTAAATACCAAACTTTGGTGATCTAACTCAAGGTGATATGGTAATCAAAGTCATACATGTACATTCATATGATACCGCATAATGAATACGACAGGCTAGCAAGATCCACTGGAAGTTGTATCATTTTAAGCAACATACACAATTGTAATATTAAATGATCTATCACTGAATGCCAGAGCGGATTATGGCTCTGTTTTCTAATTAAATATATAATTATTGTATTCATTCAGAAGCGCCAATTCGCCTGCATGGAAGCAAGAGTAGTGGACGTTCAATGAGAGGAATTATTCAACTATATAATGAGAAGTGGCTCGATTTGTGCACAACCATATGGACAGAGGCCGAATCAGAGGTTTGTAGGTTATATATATTATATGTTACCTTTTTTCCTTCTGATATATACAAGGTAGCACATTGTCACCAATATTGGTGGTCTTCCACGAGGCACTGTGTGGTAACAACAACTTGCCATAAAAATAATTAATTTAAACTCATAACAGTACCAAATCAAAATACAGAAGAAATAAGTATATGCATTTATAAAAATTATTTGGTATCCTTGTTTTAAATATCGCCTTTTTCAACAATATACTGTCACAAAGTAATGTATGTTTATCATATTACATTTACAGACAGTAAGCTATTTTTTAAATCAGGTGAAATAAATTGTATACGTTTTTAATTATAGAAAACAGCCTTATACAGTTTATGAGTTAGGCTCGTAAACAGAGTAGAAAGACGATCTCGGCTCAACATAGGGCCACCTTGTGTATACATATACAGGGTAGCCCTAAAAACTGGATACCATACGTCCAATAATGCGGAGATAATTCACCAGTACTAGAATATGATTATTCATTTCAAAATACAAATGATACCAAATTTGCCAAAATCAACTGACAGTGCACCTTGGATAAAATAAGATATCGTTGTGGAGTTCCAGAAATGCTGTTATGACTGGACTTTAGGCAATCAGTAATGAACCTCAGATTGAACCGAAACATAACATTCAAGTACACTTTTTTTTTCAAAGGCGTTTTGGATCTTCTGTTAAAACAAACATGAGATCATACAAATTGTTTACCAATGCAGTGTCATTGATACTGAACGAATTTGAACTCCTACCTTGCGTGACAAAAATGCTTCTTAAACCGAAAACCCTACCGAATTTGTCAATCTTGGTATGATTATTCTTTTGAAGAGATATTCATTCTGATGAAACCGTTGAACTTGACCTTAAATATTGGAAACATGGTAGTCCCTTTATATATATGTATACAATTCGTGCATGATGTGTTCATTATGTAAGATATTAGGGTTTCATTCACTAAACTTCAAAACACGAGATCGAAGTCCAAAGGTGCTTTATGTCAACGATGGTTTACCAAAGAGAACGACCACATTGAGGGGGGCAGCGGAGGGGTGGGGGTGAGGTCAGCGGATCGAGGGGCTGGTTACTGCCCTCCATCCGAATATTAAAGTAAATCTGCCATATCTTTCATAGATTCCAGAATACAAATATGAACCCCCCCAAAAAAAAATAACCAAAAAATAACCAAAAAAAAACAGGCTTGACAATTTCTCAGTCTTTTTATTCGAAGAAAAAGAAGATAATAAGCAAATATTGAGAATATCATGGCATCACGTATGAACTCAAAATATATCAAAGATTTTATGTACAAAATGGTAAAACGTAGTCAAAATAAACTCATTATGGACCTTTCAATCATTGCAGGTGGCATGCAGACAACTTGGTTACTCGACAGGTAGTGCCGTTAGGATAAATAATCACGAAACAAACCTACAATTCTACCAGCGGGACTACAGATGCATTGGCGATGAAGAGGAGTTGGAACAATGCCCCAGTCACCGTAACAATCTAAGAGACTGTCCCTCGCATATCTGGTTTCTAACTTGCAGCACGGAGGAGACAGCTACCACTCCCCAGAGTGAGTCTAAGGCATCACTAGATCATTCTGTGGGGGGGGGGGGGCTGGATCAAGCTTTAGTTATAGGCAAAAGTAGACCAGGTCCTTGTTAGAAAATAATTTATATGACACCCAAATATTCACAGATCTTTTAAATATGAAGAGGTCCCACTTCATCATGTGCATGCATGCTATCTACACTCACATAGTGATCTTGTTTCTAGCTTTAAAATAATAATTAGCAATGGTAAGAATATAAAGTCACCTTAGTGTGTTGTGCAATTTGGTAATATTACCTCTATCGGCTCATGTGCAAATTGAATTTCAAAATGGGTTTTATTCCAATATGCAAAACAGGGTAATGGGTCGCTTGAGTATTTGATATATCTCCACCATGCGGGAATAGTAATCATTGGTATAGATATTTTGATGAAGTATGGCCCAGTGGTCATGGCAATGTTCATTAAGTTTCTGGGTTGGATTTGAAATCTGTGCGCTAATGCCTTTGGGTAAGATGTTAAGCCTAAATTTCTTGGTCGCTTTTCATACACAATCTGGAGGTGACTTGGCATGATAATAGAATTGTCCATGTTATCCCATAACGTTGATTTAAATTATAACACCACGATGCATTTATGTTGCCTTATTTTAAGCACTTTATGTTTCACTCTTTCAAACACTTGCATTTATATTCCTTATTTCAAGAAAGTCCTGATTTATAATCAAACTATAAAGTATGCATAATATATTAATATTTTTTGTATTTCTTTGCCTTTGAAGACGAGTCTACTTTTACACTGTCCACGATCTCGGGTTCCTTGGTCTTCCTCGTCCTTGTCATCATGGTCCTCCTCGGTTACCTCTTCAGCATAAGGAAAAGAGCTTCCAGACATCGGCGATGGATCACATTATCCCGTGGACGGGAGGGGAATCAACCAAGTGAGAGGGAGAGGAGAATGAGGAGGACGAGGAGAGTGAGAGGAAGAAGCCAGGGACGTTCAGCACCTAATGTCAACTCTATCAGCAACGGACAGCAGGGGAACGACGGAGACTTACCGCCTTACTCGCGCCTTGAAGAAGAAGACACACCCCCGCCGTACACGCAGCTGCCAGTACCGCGGATTGAGATACCGGTGGTAGGTAGAGAAGAACGTTACGAGGCGCAGCCACCGCGGTGCACCGAAACCGACGCTATCGATTTCTTCCGAGAGCTTGATGCTGAGCAGCTGCGGTTGCAGTACGAAAACGCCGCGGCTGAACGGTCTCCATCGCGCTGCGGTCAACAACCGCCACCGGACTATTTCACCGCGACTCAACTCCTGCAGGAGACACCTTGCTCTGTTAATCATCAGACTGATATAGACAATGCTTCATTAGCTGGTTCCTTATGTTCTGATGATGAAGGAGATGACATCTCCCTATCCAGCTGCCGTAGTCCAATCCCCGTGATCCCCAAACACACAGTCAATTTAGACTCAACTGTGACGTCAGTAGAAGTGTAGTCATGACAAGGAGAGCTAGATAAAGCTAGAAATATTATGAGAAAGAAATCAGTTCATGACAACAATTATATTTCGTCTTAAACAACTAATAAAAATCTATACAAAGCGCTATTAAAATGTTATTTGCATATCAATATATAGCCGGACAATTACACTGTGAAATGTGTGCCCAATGTAAACATATTATAACTGAGATAGTATAATAAAATGCCTTGAATGATTAATGCCTTGAATTATTGACATGAACATGCTTCCAATTCTTCTCAGAATCATTGAATATTCATCGCGATTGTCTAAACATGTGTAATTGATTAATCAACAACGTCATCTGTAATATGGCGGTAAAAGGTTTGTTCGTCTTTGAAGTTATTCACGTAAATTTGAAAATACAAGGACAAAATGACTTAACAGTCTCAGAACAATGTGATATGTAGAATGTTTGTATCATTAGACTATTTTGCTGGACGTGAATATGATTTGGTTACACATTTTTTATTTCGATCTATGTACACGCAAAATGAAATATCCCTCAAATCCATAACCGAATTTAATCAAAAAACAGAAAGCCTTCAATAAATGGATAAATGCCACCACCTCCCTACCAGAAACCAAAATAATCACTTAAGAAGCAGTTTTTCAAATATTATGGAGGTGTGTTTGTGTCTAATACCTATGATTTTTACACTGAAATATTGTTTTTAAGTTGACCATGCACTTATGCATGATAAATACCATCTCTTTATAAAAAGGGCCCTTTTTTTCATTAATACCTTGTTTGTATGCGATTGTGTTTATCTAAATTATATATTATTCTTGTGTGTGTTATCGAAATAGTCAAATGGTAAGGAGGAAAAAATATTTATGTTATAATTCTAGAATGTTTGTACGAAATTCCACTGCAGGCCTAATACCACAGCATAACAAACAAGGCGTATCATACGCTGTTGAAAGACCCTGTTGCACAATGATTATAGATAAATATCCTCGGTCAAGCGTTACAACCAATAGGGATTCATATTTTCTGTCACGTGATATTTTGAATCTGATTGGTCTAAGCTAAAGAGATGCGATTGATCACAGTCATTTGCAATTGGTAGTATGCGATTTGTCGTAACACGCGGTTAGTCGTTTGTGTAAAATGGTCCCACAGACTGTGTTATTAATTTCCAGTTAGAAAGTACTTTGTTTAAAGATAAAGAGAACAATCTTGTCTGTAAGTGGACTCGAATCTTATATTAAGCTATCTTTGGTGGTATTGCATCTTACCTGTAACATACTGAAATAACTAATTTGTTTTAAAGTACAATATATTTGTTGTATTAGTACAATATTCTATGCAACAAATTCAGTACTACTGGGTTAACATGTTATGCTTGTGTTTGTTCTTGAATTTTACACAAAAAGCATTTGTTATTGTATATTTTAAAAGTTTTTTACTGAGCATGAAAATGTAAAATAATCATAATCATATGAAATGTCTTCGAAATTTATCGTTTTGTTATTCAGAAAAATAAAAAAATGAATATATCCAAACAAAATGATTAAGTAAATTTCTTGGCGTCGGATACGTGCACATCATAGCGTAACTGAGAAAAGATGTGTGATGAAGATTTGATCAGTTAGATATGAGAGTGAGACCGAAAGAAGGAAAAGAGAGGGGAAGAGTTGGTAAGATGTGTACAGCTAGAGAGACAGAAAGATAGAAAGAAGTTTCATAACAGATGGAAAAAATACATATTTATATATGCATATTATATTACAGATAGGAAAGAGAGAGAGAGAGCGAGAAGGAAAAAAGACTAAGGGGTATTAATATGTGTTTACATTGTATGTATGTAGTAAGACAGAAGAGAAAGCAGAAAGGTTAAACAAATCAACCATACCAAATCAAACCAAACCATTTTTTTAAAAATATGTAGCAGTACTATTTCAATGAAGAATTATTGATCGGAAGAGGCGTTACTTGATAATGCCCGACATGCATTTCATGAAGAGCGCCACCATATCACTCGTCGGTGAAAGGCGTTGGCAGGGTTGACGGGTAGAAATGCATGTCTAATAAGAACTCGACGAAAATAAATGAGAAAATGAGAAGGCAATGAAGAGGGCGTCAATGCAATGAGAACCAAATCTCAAACGGGCTTGATAAGAACTTTGCTTTCATATCTATATTTTGCAAACAATGATATTAAACCATTGTATTCTATAAAAAAAAATATATTAAAAAAAGGAATTGGAAACTGAAAATAGCAACAAAATATGCTTTGTTAAAGGTAATACAAAGTTTTGGTATGGGGTCATGAATTTGGTTCAAATGAACATATTGGAAGCATATGTGATCCTACAATATTCACTGATCGTTGTCGCCGTCGAAATCGAGTCTAAAGTGATGAAATTGTAAATAATAAACTCTTTATGTTGTATAGCGCCCTCTCAAGGTCAAGCTACCATCGTATGCCGTAGGCGCTATTTGAAATTTATCAAAATTTACCGGGAGCACCGGTAAATTTTTATTTTCAATTTTTCTCGAAAGCAGAAGTGTTTTAGGGGCTAATTTTTTTAGAGCTTATAATACATCCATAGGGGCATCCAAAAATATCAAAATTGTAAAGAATCAATATCCAGCCAATTTTCAAAATTTACCAAAACTTTGTAATACCTTTAAAGAATTATTTTAAGAATATCTACGTATCGTTAATGATCTCCAATTTTCCTTCACAAATCGCCAGGTATTGATTCGATATCATTTCTCGAACATTTCTCGATACTTCTGAAAGCCACAAGGGTCATTCTATGCAAAGTGGAGAAGACTCTACAAACAACATCAACCACTGTTATGTTTCCACCAACCTCATTGTACAATTGTTTACACAAACTGTGTAACTAATATATTAAGTATAATGTTTGCATTTTCATTACAATGGTTATGATCTCGTAAATGCGCGCTCAAATGCAAAACGAAGTCCACAACTCTCCCGCTACAAATGTTACATTCGCATCAAGCACGTGGTTCCGAGGGAAGACTTCAAGGCCAAGCTCCCCCTTGCATCCCCGAATAAAGATGTTCAAGCCCCCACCCCTTCCTGATAGATTTGTTTGATTTTGAAAATAGAGAAATAGTGTTTCTGTCATTAATGTATAGCACACAATTTATAAAGGGGGAATTGAGTTTTGTTGCAGAGGGCGCTCCACAAATAATTTTTTTGTGAGATAATGAAAAACTGAGTGTTAAATTTGAAGAGAAAAACATACAATTTAAATGACAAAATCATCTTTGTTTCAAAATCGGTTTAATTCTATGTTCTTTCAAATTTGAATAGGCTATTTGTACCTTTGCCCAATAATGTATAATCTTCCAACTTGTATTTGTGTGATTAATTGCAAATTGATTACAAAACAAAGTTGTGGATTCTATTTCAAAAAATTGATTAGAACTTATTTATATTTACATGTAGTTTGTATATTCCGGATTCTGCATTGTCTGTGTAAAGGGGGGGGGGGGGGAGGCAATCTCGCACAAAAACTGTACCGTGTATGAACATGAAATCGCGCCGTGCTAAAATTGAAAAATCTCCCGACAGTGCACCAAGCACCTCCCATCCCAGGAGCATTGATACAGGGACCCCCCCCCCCCCAACATCAAAATAAGTCACAGCGTTGCCCGCCCGCCCCCCCCCCCCAAAAAAAAAGGTCGTAAGTATAACAAGTTATAAGGATATATCGATTTTTGTAGACTCTGAACCGAAGTTCCCATCGGTGTAAAATTTTCACTCTTCCAAAGTAGAAAAATTTCTCTCTCAGACTTATTTGTTTGTTTACGAGAACTATAGAATGCACGCTTGGAACTGGGTCTCTACAGGTGTATGGTCGATGAGTCAAGGGGCAGGAAAATGGAGACGTCCACACATTGCCCCGATATGTTAATGAACACTATTAAAAAGGCAATTTTTTTAAAAAGATGCCTGACTCCACTGGGAGAAAAGAGGGATACCTAAATATGCGAGCTTTGTTTCTCAGCCAAAACATTTTCTTCGGGAGGTGGAATTAACCATCTTTTCTTCTCGGTCGCTACACTTGCTCGAAAGTCGCATCCACCACCGGTCATAACAAGACATCGCCACCTCAGCCCCTCCCACACCCTTCCCTACCATTCGCTCCGATCCCTCGCAAATGAAGCCCTAGTCCCCCCCCCCCCCCCCCATATACCTTCTGGAACAGCGTCTAATTCTCAAATACGGAACCTCATCACCTTTTGTGTATGTTAAAGAACCCCCCCCCCCCCCCTTCCTTCGCGCGCGCGCTCTCTCTCTCTCTCCACCCCCCTCTCTCTCTCTCTCTCTCTCTCCCCCTCTCTCTCTCTCACTTTCTCCACATTCTTTTGTCCCCCTCTCTCCCTTGTCTATATTCTTCTCTTCTCTTCTCTCTATTCTATCTGATGTACACAGTCTCATATTCTCCTGTTTGTCTATAATACCAATGTGGATACCGTAACCCCATTTCATTCTACTTTCTTGCCTTCCATAACTTCTAATTTTCTTGCAATCTTTAAATCTTGCCAATTATATATTTCTTTTTGTATTTGGGTTTGTTTTGTTTATTCTTTTCATCTTTCACCCTCTTCCGACCTCTTGAGTTATATTTGCTTTTGTTTCACTTCTTCCTAATTGTTTGTTTCCCTTCATGCAGGTTTTTGCGAAATTTAGTACATTTTACAAAGCATGTATTTGAGACTTTGTTAGTCCCTCTTTTATCTCTCTCGCCTTTTCCATCCAAATTTGCTCTTCTTATACGAAAATCTATCAAATACTTGCACAGACCAAATTCAAGTGATTGAAAAAGCGAACTTTCAGTTTTCCTAATCGAGGGTAAAGTACTACAGAACAGCTAAACATCTTTATCAAGTACATTACCTATCTATCAGACTAGTTTGAAGATATTACGATGAATTGGTTTGAAGTATCAACAAACGTATACGAAAAGTAGCTTTTATAACTTTGGCGCCGGTCTAATGATTTATGACATTTCGGAAGAATGTTCTTTGCTGTTCTGTGTGATATCATGATCAAATATTGATATATATATATTGCAATAAACGTAACGAAGTAAATATATTACATTCAGTATATTCCCGAATAGTAATTATTGTATCTCAGGACATTTTTAAAAACACATTAGCAGAAGTTTTATTTTTCTCATGAGGTAGGATAATTCGTCGCTGTTTTCACGAAGTGACGGTAGTGAAAAAAAATTGCATTCACTTTGCGTTACGATTTTCCTCACTACCGTCACTTCGTGAAAACAAGGACGAATTGTATGATAAGGTCACATGCTTCTTCTGGAAGTCAAGGTAGCTACGTTAGTAGAGGAGAAAATGGAAAACAGATAAAAAAGAAAAAAAAAAAAGAAAAGGATAATATAAAAAGTCGTATCCTAAATAAACACTTGAAGTGTATGTTCCTTGAAACAATTTAAAGAGGGAAGAGGGTGAGACAAATATTACCAATTAATGACAGGATATATAATTATCGTGAAAGGTAAAGCGACATTAGGAG